GCCAAGCTCGCGCTCACCGCGACCGACTGGACATGTCTCCCGGACGTCCGGACACCGCTGCGCAAGACGCTCGCTGGCAACGTCGAGTGCATGTCAACGAACACCCGCAGCTGCGTGACAGTACCCTCGTCCGCGGCCTGCACGGCGCTGGTCGCTTCGCCCAGCCGCCCTCTACAGGCGCTCACGTGTGACGCGCTGCATGCCGCAGATGTCAACAGCACCTACGATACACCCGACCACTGGTGCCGCGTCGGCGCCGCCGCCCTCACGACCGAGCCATGGCGCTGTCTCTATCCCGTCGCTGCGACGCCCGTGCGTCTCTCGGGCGACGGGGTCAGCGAGTGCATGGCATCGTCGACGTCCGCCGGCTGCCGCACCGTCAGCTCGCAAGCCGAGTGCACGGCGCTTGTGGCGGCAACCAAGACGTCGTCGGCGCTTCGGAGCGACTCGCCCGCCTTTCTGGCCTTGTATGGAGACAGCGGCGACGAGAGTGATCCAGGATGCGCCTCGAGCGCGCCATTCTTGAGCAACGCGCCGTGGCAGTGTCCGTTCCAGTCGACAACGCCACTGCGCCTCACTACGTCGGGCGACGTCGAGTGCATGTCGTTGGACGGACGCACTTGCGTTACCGCGTCGTCATGGACCGACTGCGTGCGCTTGCAGTTGCAGCCGCCTTCAGCGTTGTCGCCGCTCGTGTGCGGTGCGATGATGGAAATGACGCTTGGTGTCTTTGGCTACGATACGCCCGAGCACTGGTGCGCGCTGTCGATGCCCAAGCTGTCGATGGCGCCCTGGACGTGTCTTCGAGGCATCTTTACGCCGATCCGCCTCAACTTCAACTTTGACATCGAGTGCCTCTCGCTGAACGGCCACGACTGCGTCTGGACGAGCTCGGAAGCGGCGTGCCGCGCACAACTGGCGCAGCCGGTTGCGCCGCTGAACCCGCTTGCGTGCGGCGCGATGCACAAGGCAGCGTGGGGCTTGACCGGCTACGGCGAGGCTAGTCACTGGTGCGCCAAGGCGTATGCATCCCTTGTCCAGTCGGCGTAAAATGTAAGCCTATCAGTATACTACGACCGGTGGTACATGTATTTGGCTTGCAACCATGCATTGTGACGTGGCAGCGCCGAGGGACGTTTCCATCGTCAACCGGTAGTGTTTAACCGGTTGGATGATGCGGTTGGCGGCGTCCGACTCACCAACGCAAATATATCGAAAAGAAGACAAGTTGTTATCACGACACAGTTTATAAACAGGTGCGCACTCTAGTTCTTGTAGTGCGTGCGGTTGGTGTACACCCAAGTCTGGTACTCGGCGGCGCAGAACGGGAACTTGGCCGACGACGGCTCGACCGTCTTGAAGAGGACCTTGCCCGTGTTGATCGAGACGTAGATGGCCAGCGCGAGGCAGACGAGGACGGCGAAGACGGCGCCGGCCTTCTCGAGCGGCTTGATCGTCTTCCAGAACGTCTTGAGGTAAAAGCAGATGGGCAAAATCATGCAACTGAGCGACGTCGAGGAAGCACCGACAAAGTCCAAGAGGTCGCCGAAGTTGTCCTTCCACGCAATGGCAATCACGACCGTGATGGCAATAATGACGATGCGGAGGATCGCCGCCTTGACGTACGCGCCGGGTGCGGCATAGTCGGACGCGGCGTCGTGCGACGGGTACTCGATCGGGTCGAGCTGCGACGTCTTCTCCGGGAGCTCGAGGTTGGGCGTCTCAATGTCGTTGTAGTTCGTCGGCTCCGTCCGCTCGATCGTCACCTTGTGGAGGCCGAGGATGATGCGCTCGGCGATGAAGAAGGCCGGGAAGATGACGACGGCGAACGCGATCGTAATGTGGAGCTGCATGGCCATCATGGCGAGGATGACGCCACCGCGGTCGGCCTCAAAGCCAAGCTTGGTGCCCGAGATGGCAAAGAGGAGGTTGCCGGGAATCTGGCAGCCGGCGACCGAGACACCGGTGATCGAGACGATGAGGAAGAAGGCCGAGACGATCGTCAATGTCACGACGATGATGCGGGGCATGCGCGTCTCGTCACTGTGCTCACGCTGGAGCGTCGGGACGACGATACCGGCGCCGTACGCGAGCGCGAGGTTGCCAAACACTGTCGTCACCTGCTCAAAGCTGAGGTTGGGCTTGGGCGGCGAGAGGCCTTCGTTGGCGTCGTTGAGGTTGTGCACGAGGAGGCCGAGCGCGATACCATCGGCAATGATCGTGCCGAGCGCGCCGGCCGCGGCAGCACCGGCACCTTCCTTGAGCGTCGGGATGAGGCAGACGGGAAGGAGCGTGACGCCCATGATGATGATCCACGTCGAGTCCTTGAACGACGACGGGAACATGATGGTAAAGATGATACCGCCGAGCACGAGGAACATGATGGGGACCATGATGCACACGAGCATTTGCGCAATGTTGGTGATCCAGCGGCCAAAGCAGCCCATGGACCACTCGCCAACGTCCCCGAACGTGCGGATGCTGCGGGGCGCGACCATCATGACGTGCGAGATGCACCACGTGGCGTAAATGTTGATGGCCGCCATGGCCACAAGCGCGACGGTTGCCCAGCCGTAGCCGGCGCGGGCGTAGTTACCGGGCATACCGAGCGTACCGATACCGTAGACGCAGCAGAAGAGCGAGAAGCACATCTTGATGTCTTCGACCGTCAAGAACGGCTTCTTCGTGTTGGCCGTCATGGTGGCGAAGGCAGGCAAATGCGAGAATGAGCGCTTGGATGGTTTGGCCCAAGTGTATCAGATCCCGGTCGGCGAAGCTACTCGCGTCTTGTTCGTTGGCTCGCCTGTCCGAGCTCGCCATCTGTTTTCTTCGGCCGTCAACCCGTCTGTTGGGGTCCCACGTTACCTGGTCGGCACCCGACAGGCTGGTCCGGATCTATTCCCCTTCCAACAAGCTCATCGGTCCAGTGTTTTCCGTGTTGAGATTGCGACAGCGATAGCTGCACTGTCGCGAGAAGCTCATGAACGGCAATGGTTGTGGTATGGCCACTGCCCCGCCGTCGTGGCTCGCTCAAGGTCGCAGTCTCGGCTGGTTGCGCGATAGAAGGGCCGTGATGAGTCGACGTGATGGTTTTGGACGCTTGGCCATGTGGTATGGGCCGATTTTTGCGATCTAGCCAATCATAGCGATGGATTTGACACGATGCGCGTTTTGATTGGCGGCTCATCCAGCTGAAATTGCACTTTGGCGATCTTGATGGGTGCTGGAAGATAGCAACGCGCGAGCAGAATAGGTGCGCCTCATATACGTACTACGAGTACGGTACGGCAAATAGACGGCAACGAAAACGAAGCCATATTGGACCGTCCTTGCGATAACGACGCACTAGCTGGGGACGGCGACGACGCTGTCGACCCCTGTTGTAGCCCGTCCGTGTCCTCCAGCTGGTGG